ATTTATATTAATGAAATTTTACAGTAAAGGATAATAAGAATGTACTTATAATTTAAACATATAATTAACAAAATCTCACAGTAGTTATACAAAGCCAAATAAAAATAAATACATTGTTATGGCACTAGGAGATGGTGACGGAAGAGGATGAGATGGTTAGATGGTGTCATTGACACAATGAATATAAATTTGGGCAAACTCAGGAAGACAGTGGAGGACAGGGGGGCCTGGTCCATGGGGCCACAAAGAGTTGGACACAACCTAGGGACTGAACAACAAGCCATAGTCAGGCATTCTAACATCCTATTTTAGTGTTTCTAACAGCACATTCTTGTTCAATTATGTCAGATTTTTGCTCTAACGTTATGGTTTCTTTTTTTAAAAAAATATGTAGTTTTCCTCTGAAGGAATCTTCTCCAATTTCCACATATGAAGATTAGCAGTGTCCAAAATCCCAAACACAACTCTGCAAAATCTCAAACACAACTAGCTTCATTAACTGAAGTTTTTATTAAATGTACTTAGTGTTCTCCTCCTCCCGGTCTTTTAACCGAATTTATGACTGGTAGGGTTTTTTCCCCCTTTATTATTTTAATGTGTGGTAGTTTTAATCTTTGTAAGCTATCCAAACTTGTCTCTCAACAAGATGGGTGGCACATAAATGAAATAAAGGAAAGGAGTACCTGAATGACATTCTCATTCACTCGTCATCCAGCGGGCAAGCCCAGAGAGATCTCGACATCACCATCCGCATTCTTTAACATCACAGTTTTTCCGTCAATTTCGACTAGAGCCACCTGACTCCAATATCCAGAATTCAACATCTCGGCATGGTGTTCGACTCCAGGAGCTGCAAAGTCTTTCTCACACAGGAGTGGGTGGAAAGCATCATATCTCTGGTGAGATGCATCCGAGTGATTGGGTCAGCGTACATCGTGTCTTTCTCCCAGTTGCTGGGAAAACTAATCTCGTACATTGCAGTGGTACCTTGGGCACATCTGCATGCGCAAGAGCTCCAATAGTTCCTGCTACCAATCCAGACACGCAAGGCCAGCAACACCAGGAGGATGGTACGCCTCCCACCAAGGGTGGTTTGGTGACTCAGGTGGTGGCAGTTGGAAGCCCTGCATGGGGGATCCTTCTTCAAGGAACCGAAGCGCCTGGTCATAACAATGGACGCCAGCCTATACGGTTGGGGCGCTCAGATTCATGTAATACAGGGCAGATGGTCGTAAACGGAGCTCACCCACAGCATAAATTGGCTAGAGCTCCGGGGTGCCAGGTTAGCCCTGCGTCATTTTCACATTTTCACTAACGACATCAAGGGCCGCGACATCCTAATACTGACTGAAAACATTGCCACCAAGGCATATATAAACCACCAGGGTGGCACTCAGTTACAAGCCCTGATGGCAGAGGTGGAAACCCTAGGCCGATGGGCAGAGCGTCACCTAACCGCTGAGGGCGGACCACATCTTGGGGGAGGACAACGTGGCTGCGGACTGGCTGAGCAGGACTACCATCAACAACTCGGAATAGCGGCTCCATCTATCGCTGTTCCGTCAGCTGTTGCAAAAGTTCGGACTTCCAAAGGTTGACCTGTTCTCCACTCCGGGCAACACGCATCTCCCCCGGTTCTTCACCAGGTTTCAGTGCCCCGTCGTGGAAGGGACAGAGGCTATCCGATGCTGCTGGCCTCCCGGCCTACTATATGCCTTTTCGCCTCTCCCCTTTATACCCTTGGTGATCAGGAAAATTTTGTCGGAGGGGGCGGAAGTGTTGCTAGTTGCACCACACTGGCCGAGGAGGTCCTGGTTCGCCGACCTTGTCAACCTGTCAGTGACCAAACACTGGCGCATACCTCAGGAGCAGATCTCCCTCTGCCAAAGGGCCATTCAACACCCGGACCCTCAGTGGCTACAATTAGCCTTTTGACACTTGAGGGGGATCTCCTAAGGCTAACCAGGTTTTCAGACAAGGTCATCCGTACCATCCAGGCGTCCAGACGGCGCTCCACAGTCCGAATCTATGAGGCGACATGGTGTGCTTTTTCATCTTGGTGTCAGTCTCATCAATTTATTGCCACTTCTGCAACTATTCCGCAACTCCTAGATTTTCTACAGGAGGGACTGGACAAGGACGTAGCACCCAACACGCTCTGTCGGCAGACAGCAGCCTTGGCCAGAATTCTGTCCACAGACTCATCTCTTCTGCTTAGTAGGCATCCTCAGGTTCTTCCTCAAAGGAGCTACCAACCTCAGCCCTCCTGCAATACACCAATATCCAACCTGGGATTTGTCCGTTGTCCTACAGACTCTGACCGTCACTCCATTCGAACCGCTTTGATCCATTAGTTTGCATCACTTGTCTCTCAAAACAGCCTTTCTTATAGCTGTCACCTCGGCCCGCAGGATTTCTGAGCTGGTAGCTCTTTCAGTCAGAGAGGACATTTGCATGGTGCATTCAGACAGGTCATTCTCAGACTGGACCCGGCCTTTGTTCCGAAAGTTAACAGTGTCTTCCACAGGATACAAGAGGTGATTCTCCCTGATTTTTGTCCATGACCCAGCCATCCAAGGGAGCACATGTGGCATAAGCTTGATGTTCGCCGTGCTGTGTGCATATACAAGAAAAGAACTTCTTTTCTCATGTTGGAATCATTCTTTGTGTCCTTCCAGCCCGTTTCCATGGGCAGGAAAGTATCATCTTCCACCATTGGATGCTGGATAATGGCCTGTATTAAGATAGCTTACGAGCAGCAGGCTAGACCAGTTCCTTCTCATATAACAGCACACTCCACAAGGAGCGCCGCAACCTCGGCTGTGTGGACCACGCAAGCGTCCATTGAGGAGATATACAGGGCCGCGACCTGGTCGTCATCATCTCCTTTCTGGTGGAACTAGAGACTAGATTCCTTTGCATCTGCGGAGGCCCCCTTCGGAAGAAGGGTCTTACAATGGATTTCCACTGGCCTGGACACTTCTTCCCACCCTGGGACTACATACCTTGGGTATGTCCCATGCTTGGACACTCCAAGCAGTGCCTAGGAGAATGACCGTTGGCTTACCTTAACCCCGCCCTGGGGTCGTCCGTGGGTGCTTATGTTACCACCTTTGAGGACATAGATCACTTGTATACATCTTCCTTTTGGGATTCATTCTTTGTTTTTTAAACTGAGCCTCTGAAGGGAGCAAGAGGAGTGGCTACACAAACTTTGAACTCAGTCCTTGGGCAGCAAGCTGAAGTTAACCCATGCTTGGACACTCCCGCAGCGCCTAGAGAACGTCCATTCAGGTAAGCCAACGCTCATTTTCCCCGCTAATTGCAAATATCCATTGTCATATAAGAATCTTATACATAGTATAGATCGTAAAAAGATACATAAATTGCAGTACTCAATCAACTCATACAACTTGGTTCAATAATGTCTAATATTTCTGACTTAATACCTGGTATTAACATAACATGGCATTCTTTGTTTTAAGAATTACTGGTCTCAGCATTCTTGGTAGTTAGACAAAGTGGTGGGCTCTACTGAGAACCAGAGCACTGTATGATACCTCAAGTTCTTGAAGGAAGGTGAGGTGTAAATCTAACAAACTAGATAGTGTGGAAATGGGATTCTGCGTATCAAGGCTGAATACATGGGAGCAGTTGCAGCTTGTTTCTAATTTAAATATCTGATACTTGGCATTACGGTAGTTGTGATATTCCCAAATTACAAGCAATAGGAAAGAATTATCTTACAGAATGTTCTCTCTGGTTTAATATATACAGAATAGTATTTTGTTGTTTTTGATTTTCATCCCTGCCATTCAAGATTTCTCCTCTCATTACTTTGCCCAGTTAGAATAAAGGAGAAGATAATCACTGTGGTCTATTAAGCATTTCCTTTTGTAGGTGATAATTACATTTGTGTAGTGGGATGTGGTAATCATAAAGTGAGAACACTAGTTAAATGCATTGGAGGAAGATGGGATATGGTTTTCATAAAATGGAAGTTAAGAAACAATACCTTCAATTAAACTCAATGTCATAGTGACTGGACACAAAAGGAACCATCCTATTGTAGGCTCCATGACTTGATTTTTCTGATTGCAGTACTACAGAGATGCAGATATTAACATATAGCCTTCTTGGTAAAATGTTACTATGACTGGGCAAAATTTTGCACATGTATCCATTATTCATCAGGAAAGTGGATATGATAGTTACTTTCAGTGGATTGTTACAAAGAACGGGACATGATACAATTCTTTATATATGTTTACATGTTATGTTTGTCGTCTAATAACCTAGATTCTCTGACAAAAATACAGTTCTACAATAAAAAAGCAGTACAGAGAAGCTGTTAAAAAGTAGTAAAAACCAAATATTATAAGTAACAAATTGCACAAATAGCCTAACTGCATATGATGGGTTTTTTTTTGATAAAAATCCATATAAGTATGAGTAATTTTAAAAACTGTAGCTAAAAAATTAAATTGCTTCTTACTGTAGAATTTGACTTTAAAATAAACTTTTAGACAGTTCTGATCCGAAGTTCAGAATCATATGCATAAGCTTTGAACTTCCTTTCCCCTCTGTTATGATCCTCAGCAATTTTTCATAAGGTTTTGCTTCCAGTTTCAATTTAACTATAGTTTATTGTTCATGTTTAAAATTGAAACAATGGTTATGTAACTATAATTTATAAAAACAACCCTGAATCATGAAGTCTGAAGTTGTTTATCTCCATTATAATTAAAACTAATTTCTAGAGAGGTGAAAAGAATAAATTGATTAGTTGAACATAAAACAAGTCCTTGTGGGTATTACACTGGTACAGAGTTCAAAAGCTGAAAGTTTGTTCCTATAATGTTAAGACATACAGAAATGCATTACGATATATCAGATCAAACCTGCATAAATGTGTATAAATATAATCTATGCTATTTGAATACTAGGATTTTTTATTTTATAAATAACGAAAGGGAACAATGCTCTTTATTATCATTTAGGTGACAAACAGCATGTTTGGTGCTTCAAGAAAGAAGTTTGTAGAGGGGGTCGACAGTGACTACCATGATGAAAATATGTACTACAGCCAGTCATCGATGTTCCCACATCGATCAGAAAAAGATGTAAGTTTTTTTGTGCGTATTATATTTAAATTTAAAGTTTAGGCTTAATGAGAGTAGGTTTTTATAATATTGTACAGAATTACCCCCCCCCCCTCCAAACACAATTATTTTTACTATACAGTGTGATGATGCAGTAATTAGAATGCATTATTGCAGGCTGATTCTGCCACTGCCAGAACTATGATATTGACCAGCTCCAGGCTGACTTAGCCTTCTTCGGTAAAGTGGTTGGTAAAATGAGAACCCAGATAGTTGGGGGAAATATATGCTGATTCTGTAAACTGCTGTGAGCAGCCCTCCCAAGCTCTGTTTTTATTGGCAGAGGCACCATGGACCAGTCCTTCACTGTTTCCTGGGTGGCCCCACAGGCCAGATCTGACCACCCAGTCGACCGGATCCAGCCCCTGGGCCTTGAGCTTGACACCCCTGGCTTAGAGGGTGCTGTAAAGCACTATGTAGCGAATATAAGTCTAAGTGCCATTACTAAGTGCTATAGTTATTACTCTTACTCTTATAACCACAGAGAGCTCTGCAAAATTGTAAAGGTATATCATGGTTGTATTAATGATGATAACTATGTTCTCAGTTGCTGGATAACTTTCCTCAGTGGTGTTATATAAATACAAGAAAGAAGGGGGTGGAGTTTTGGGTCAAATGCTCTTCAGTGGTGGTCCTACAAATAGAGCTGCAAACAACATCTCAGTTTCATTTCCTGCAGTGTCACTTTAGCAACTAAAATTGCCAATAGTACAAAATTCAATTAAGATATCTAAAACATCTAAAGGTAGCACTTGTATTATCTACGTGTAAAATTAATCAGTTCGGATATCTAATAATTTTTTCAGTAAAGGTAGTCCTTGGCTTAAGATGACAATTGGGCCCCAATTTTTTTGTGGCTAAGCTAAACATTTGTCAAGTGAATTTTACCCCATTTTATGATATTTCTTGTCACAGTTAAGTGAATCACTGAAGTTGTAAAGTTAGGGTTGTGAAATTAATCTGGCTTCCCCATTGACTGTTTGTCAGAAAATCGTAAAAGGGGATCACTTGACCTTGGGACACTGCAACTGTCATAAATATGAGTCAATTGCCAGGCGTCTGAATTTTGAACATATGAACCTTGGGGATGCTGCAATAGTTGTAAGTGTGAAAAATGGTCATGTCATTTTTTAAATATTGTTGTAACCTTGAACAGTCACTAAATGAACTGTTGTAAGTCAAGGGTTACCTGTGTTAAATTTCCTCAGTTACCTGAACCGATGATTTGAGGCCTGAAGCCAAACTGAAATTATCATAGGCTTTCTCTTGAGTGTATATGTAGCTGACTGGTCATTATTCTTTCTATTACTTTGCTCAAGAAAGTGATATTTATAATTGGATACTAGTTGTTCACATCTTGAATGTCCAGGAAACCCCAAGGACAGAACAAACTGCAGTTTCTTTCATAGCACTGGGCATATAATGAACATTAAATAATTAAATTAATTAAATAATAAGGCATTTTATTTATTTGTATCCTATCTTTATTATTTTTACAAATAATTTAAGGCAATAAACATCAAGCATTCCTTCCTCCTTCTGTTTTCCTCACAACAACCACCCTTTGAGGTGAATTGGAGTAAGAGAAAATGAGGTCATCCAGCTTTTATGGGTACCATACTCCTTGTTATAACTTAAAAGTCCCTCCTTGTCACATAATATAATACCAGTGTTTAATGAGTTTCAGTGCTTGTTTTTAAAGTGTTTAATATTTCATAACCACTATATTTTATCCTTGACTATTTTTTTAATATTTGATTTCCAATTTAGATGCTGGCATCACCATCAACATCAGGTCAGCTGTCTCAGTTTGGGGCAAGTTTATATGGGCAACAAAGTAAGAAATCTATTTTTATAATAGGCCAATGGTTGCATGTATTTGTAAGTTACCTTAAATTAGGTTCATTTAATGTAGACTTTTTTCTATTGATATAACTTTTAAAGCTGTTCCGAGTATTTAAAAAAGGTAGAGTCGTTGGAGGTCCTGTACAGCTGCTTTGAAAGCTGTCTTTGATTATCTGTACATATGTATCATAGTCAGCTGCTTTGCTTTGTCAGCAGAAGTGTCCAATGCAGACAACTGGAAACAAGCTTCAGAGCAGATGCAAAAGTGTTCCAAAAACTGTTACTACTTTTGTGCTTTGAAGACAGGTGCTTTGCTCATGTTAGCATGCAAACACCTATTTTAATTGCTTTGTATATCCTTAATAATTTCAGCATAACTGCATCTTAAAATATGATGCAAACTTTTTTCCTGTAATATGCTTGTAAGCAGTTGTTTCAGTTGAGGGCATTAAAAATGAACCATTCATAAATAGCTTTTTTAATTTTAACACTTCTACAGAACATTCAGTTGTTCATATTAGGTTCCTATCATTTAAATTACTCGAGAATCAATAATACTATTACTGGATTATATTTTAGAGATATCTTCTCATCTGGCAGTAGATTTTTTTTCTGTAAATAAATTACAAACTTTTATTAGTTACAAAGGGAATATTCATGAATCATATTTTAGGAAGGGCAACATCCTCTTGGATTTTAAATAAAAACCATCAGTACCGAGGGTATTATTTTGCTGGCCCCTTCATTATAATAAAATGGGTCAGAAATGTTTCCAGATATGGGTAAATTTTAAATTGCTTCAAAATTACTTCTGCTTCTATTTAATAATTTCCGTGTACATTATTAAGTTTGTAACTATCCTAGATGTCTTTCTAATTGTACTGTGAGACTGTAGGTTTTCTTCATTAGAGTTGAAGTGACATAATCAAGTGACTGTATTTGAATGATTATATTGCAATTCTTTGTTGAAAAAGGTTTTTATTTTCCATTTTTTCATTTTCATACACTCACATATATACTGTGCATAGCTGGAGCCATACAACATTAAACAATAATCGCAGCAATTCCTCTTGACAACAATAGCCCAAAAAATAGCAACCCAATATACCTCTTCCACTCGCCGTACACCTCTTTCTTCCACCCCCCGCCAACTTTCTATCCTCCCTCCATC